TTCAGCATTTTTGTGGCAGTGTTGCACTTTACTTTATCTCCTGTTTCGAACACACAAAACTGGACAGTGTTCTGCCTTTACCCTGCAATGACTAGTACTGCCAAAGCAGTTGTTTTTAATAAAAATAAAGCACCCTACATACAAAATGTAAATTCTCCACAATATATAAAATATATACTCATTGTTTTAATAAAAAGTATTTGTCTTTATTTAATATTGTATAACTTTAGCCCACCCCACAATCATCTACTGTCATTTTTAAGATTTTCACGAGTTAGGGTTAGATCAATTTAATTATGAATTAAGTTTATAATTCAATTTAACGTGTTCTAAATAAGTGCAATGATCTCATCACAGTAATTTTGGCACCTCTTTGATTTTGATTTAGTTTAGTCTAACCTCCAGCCAAATTCTAAAGTGTGTTTTGTAGCTTTCAGGAGCCCATGTCTTTTAATGACAAGCCCTGTAATGTGTGCTGCCTTTTAAGTGAAGGAGTGACGGGCTTGTAATTTGAGAGTCTGACCGGGGGTATTATTATCTAAATCTAGCACAGAGTCTGAACGGTTCAGATGTTCAAACAGACACAAGGAAGGACACGGCGAGGGTCTGTGTGGCTCACGCCTGTTGATTTAGCCAAAAACACAGGCAGGAAAACGGACAGGAAAGTTGCAATATCAAACCGAGGACGATTCTGTGTGATTTAGCTGTTTCTGTGTCGGGATTGCTCGGCATTTGACGCTCTGGACATGCGTGGGCTGGAGCAGGAGGGCTTGTCTAAAGTTTAAACAGCAGAGCCGAAGGTAGCCTACTGTTGACTGTGATAAGACAGAGGTGGCTATGATGGCTTCCCCTCTGTTCCTACTGATAGCCTGTCTGCTCTCGTTGCGTGTCGAAGGGGCTTTCTTTTCGGGACCCCTGCACCCAGAGATGTCCAACGGCACCTTTCATCATTATTTCGTGCCGGATGGCAACTACGAAGAAAACGACGATCCAGAGAAATGTCAGATGCTGTTCAAAATGACCGACAATCGCAAATGCACCCTGAACGAGGACCAGGACTCGGTGATCCGGGACGATTTTATCATCATCAAGCGGCACATCGAGGACGCGGCGAGGGTGCTGGAGGGCATCGGCAAGAGCATCTCCTTCGACCTGGACGGAGAGGACAGCTATGGGAAATACCTGAGACGGGAGACGACCCAGATCAGCGAGGCGTTTTCTAACTCCGAGAAGTCTCTTCTGGAGCTGGAGGTGAAATTTAAGCAGAGCCAGGAAAACGAGCTGAAAGAGGAGCACAAGATCAGCGACGACTTCCTCAACATGATCGTGCACACGCGCGACGTCTTGAAGGAGACTCTGGACATCTCGCTGGGACTGAAGGACAAGCACGAGCTGCTGTCGCTCATCATCCGGAGTCACGGGACCCGGCTGAGCCGTCTGAAGAACGAGTACATGAAGTTGTAGAGAGGGCTGACTGTGAGTCTGCCTTCAGGAGCCTACCCAGGCAAATCTCAGTCTGACTCTATGGCAAGGCATTTGAACATTAATTCCTTCAAATTAAGTAGGCTAGTGATGTACTTGTTTTTAGTAAATAGCCAATTTTCCCAATAAAATTGTCCCAATTGTCTTTATGTAATAGTACTGAAGCTATATACTGCACGTAATTATTCGGTTCATATTCATTTCTATGAGACATTAGGGTCGATCCTAACTGTTATTAGTAATATATACTATCTCACTAGTTACAGAACACACACTGGTCTAATAATTAGGTAGTTTGTATGTAGGCTATTCAATTAGTACTATGAAGCTGAATTATAGCCTACATTTGTGACCCTGGACCACAAAACCAGTCATAAGGGTCAATTTTTGGAAATTGATATTTATACATAATCTGAAAGCTGAATAAATAAGCTTTCCATTGATGTAGGCTTTGGTTTGTTAGGATAGGTCAATATTTGGTCGAGATACAACTATTTGAAAATCTGGAATCTGAGGGTGCAAAAAAATAAAAATATTGAGAAAATGGCCTTTAAAGTTGTCCAAATGAAGTCCTTAGCAATACATATTACTCATCAAAAATTAAGTTTTGATATAGTTACGGGAGGGAATTTATGTAATATCTTCATGGAACATGATCTTTACTTTATATCCTAATGATTTTTTACATAAAAGAAAAAATCAATAATTTTGACCCATACAATGTATTGTTAGCTATTGCTACAAATATACCCGTGCTACTTATGACTTGGTTTTGTGCTCCAGGGTCACATTTGAATAGTTATAAGAACTAGAGTAAATAGTTAATAGTTACTATGAAAACTGGACTAGATACCAGCAAAAATTGGAACACATACTAATCTGAAGTGAATTGTTAATGTCTGAACCACGGATCCCTATAGAATTCACTGGAAAAATTAGGAAAATATTTGAAATTGTTTCTTGTTACTATCACCATAGTTGTAAAATGTATTAATCGCTATTGGATTGCTTACTAAAATAAGAACTAGTAACATAACAATATACTATTTATTTTGAAGGAATAAATGCTATTTCTCTGTAACTACTTGGCAAAAGTGATGCAGCTATTCTGTGCAATAAATGAAAGCCAGTATTCACTTAATAGCGGCAATCATACATGATGGACAACCATTAAATGCTTTAAACTTGGCAATACTGCCCTTAAATTCTAGTCATTAACGGCATTTGCAGCTTATGATAATATGACTGGAACCTCAGTCTAACCAATATAGAGGCTTTACCTCTCAGAGGAGACATACAAATCACTGAGTTAGTGTCAGCGTTGAGTTTCTCACTATTTTCTCAGATAATGATATAGGGTGTATTTGCGTTTGCTCATTTGCATTGGCATTACTTGAATGTTTCAGAGAAAATTCATGTTGGTTAAACAGAAGGAATATAGTTTTCATTGTAAAAAATGTTAGCTGTCATATTAATATTTAGTTTATATAAGAGCATGTACTTAGAATAGTTTTTAAGTATTCAGTCTGACAATCCTCCCAAAGATTCTGGCATATTAAAAACATAAATTTTTATTATTATTATTTTCTGATACACTTGGAGGAATAAAAAGACATTTGCTCTTCTTTGTACATGTTATTATGTTTTGTGTGCCCTAAGAAATCTATATAGTTTATAATGAGCTTTTAAAATATTAAACTGTGAGTGTTTATATTTATGAAAAAGCGTAACTGTATTCATTTTATGAAACTGTACGTGTTGCATTAAGTATTCTTGTCCTCTGAGAAGTAATGGGAAAAGGACCATCTGGGATGACATATTCCAGTCAAACCAAGATGACTGCGGGCAGGATTATTGGACTTGAAGCATTCTACCATGTGTAGTTCTATTCTTGGGATACAGTATATGTTGTGTATATTCCTTTTTGTAATAAAAATCTTCAAGATAGTATCTGTGTGAGTGTGTGAACTGCATTGTTCTAAAACATTCCAGAAAAGATTTAAAGTAATAGTTAATTCAGGCTTATGTTGTTTAAAAAAGCTGTATGACTTCTCTCATAAAATATATGAACAAATGATTAACAAATCGTTCCTTTAAGTTGGTTGCTCTGATTCACTAAATGATTCATTCACAAACTGGACTGATCTGGATGCTGAGATCAACTTGATTATAACAGCTCACTGGAGAGGGAAGATTGTCAGTGAATTATGTATTTTGGTTTGTTTCACAAATATGTATCTTAAATTAGTGCACATGTTGTTTGGTGTTTTTTTATTTTAAAGCTTTCCAAATAGTTCCAACACTGAGGTCAAAACTATTCAGATGCCTCAAAACTTTGAATTTGCCATTTGTCTATTAAATAATTGATATTGAGATAACATATTATGAATTAAAGCCACACAGGTTGATGCAGAGCTGTTAAGGTATGAGCAGGATGATAGTTGCTCTAAGCATATGCAGGTGTCACATTGTTTCATGTTAGAACACTGAAACAGCTGTTGCAGGACACCAAACTCCCTGACATAGTGGGAGTCCTCCTCATAAACATGCATTACCAGACAGCCAGAGTAACTGCTGCGGTAGTGGGTGATCTCTCAGTTTGAGTGTGTGTGTGTGTGTGTAAGAGAGAGAGAGAGAGAGAGAGAGAGAGAGAGAGAGAGAGAATTTTAAATTGATAAGGGGAAACCCAAAACTATATATATTCATGGTAACACTTTATTTTAAGGACCTATTCTAGCTATTAACTAGTTGCTTATTAGCATGCATATTACTAGCATACTGACTATTTATTAGTACTTATAACGCACATATTAATGCCTTATTCTGTATGACCATATTTTAGATCCCTTAATCCTAACCCATACCTAAACTTAACAACTACCTTATTAACTATTAATAAGCAGCAAATTAGAAGTTTATTGAGGGAAAAGTCATAGTTAATAGTGAATATGTGTTCCCTATTCTAAAGTGTTACCATATTTATATTTACCATGTAATTACTATTATTTATTATTAACTATTTCATTAAGTTCTAAACATAAAAAATACTAGAGTTATTTATAAATACACTCTAGGCTGTGTTTTATTTGGTCATTAAAGATGTGCTAACCTGATAATCTTCAAAAAGGAAACAAGGGGCATGTCTATCTGTGACCAAAATATTGCCATTATTATGTTATCTATCTGTCTATCTGTCTATCTATCTATCTATCTATCTATCTGTCATGGACACAGGCCTATTTCATACTGTACTATATATAATTATTTTAATTTATATATAATTAATAAATAATATATATTTAAATAGAATACAGTATAGTAGGCTTTGGAAACAGTGTAGCATGTTCACATGACAATTGCAATAAAATGCAGTTACAAAAACAGGAACAGAAGTTGTCGGGCAAAGCTGCACGTAATTTTGACAGAGTTTCAGATCCAGTGGCGCACACACAGCACACATCACGATGATTACAGTGTGTGTGTGTGTGTGTGTGTGTGTGTGTGTGCAGCATCAGCGCTACAGTGCATCTGACCCTTCACCCACTTCCAGCACTGAGTTCTCACGCTTCTCAGCGCTATATAAGGCTGAAATAACCGAGCCTACCTTACCCACGGCTTCACGGTAAGTGCCACATGCCGTTTCTGTTTTCCTCTTCTCTCATCACATGTAAATATCGAAAATGAAATTCCGTGGCTGGGCTGCATTTAGTAAACGGGACGTTCGCGTGTATCAGCCTGATGAATGAAAGATCGCTTGGTGTTGTGTTTGTTGTAAGCGTCATACTCGTGATTTCCTCATGTAATATTTCATGAATGGAAAGCTCTAGTGTAGACCTCCTTTAGTCAGCCAGCTGCTCCATAGGTCATTTACTAAATGCGCTACAAAGAGGGCAAGTGCTAAAAATACCCGGAAACAACAAGGCAGATGCATTTTTAGCGATGAAGTCTAAATAAAGACAATACATGTTGAAGTTGAATTCTTTACTATCTCATGGCATCTGCAGTGTGTGTGTGTGTGTGTGTACGTGCTGTCGTAACGCTGGAGGCGGTAATGTGTTTGTTTGCAGAGGGAATGAAGTGGTGACCTTTCACCTACTTCCGTGTTCCCTGAGACACATGTGCTAAGATGATTGCACATTACATAACCAATGCTCAAAGGTCTGTTTAGGGTTTTATATCATGGACCCACAAATGTGATTGTCGCTTTGCTGCCTGACACTGATTCTGATTCTGATTCTGATAGACAAGCTATTTTCAGGTATTAAACCCTATTTGTAATGTGTGAGACAAATAGTAAGAGGATAATGTAAAATTAATAATTGGTATTAGTAAAGCCAAAAAGTCTATATTTGTATGAAGCTTACAGTGTATTCTAGACATTATTATTAGAATAATACAATAGTGTTATATAAATCTCACAAGAAACTATGACTGTCAACAGAATCAAATAACTGGGATTTAATGGATCAATAAGACTGATAGTTGACATTCCAAATGTACTAAAAACAACGTATGACATTATCAATATTGTTATGATGATTATGAGACTTTGAGCAGTGGATACTGATTAATATATCAATTTGAGTTTTGCTGTGTAGCCTATTTGGAATTGTAATGAACAAACTGTTCATGTTTTATTGTTTAGGTTAAGAGATGCAACAAAAAGATTGCCTTAAGAGTTTCTGTAAAACTGTACACATGAAATAGTCCAAATTCGTCCTACTAGTGCAAAGTAGAATTTAAGTGCAGAGTTCAGTAAGGCATAGTTTGATTAGTATGGCAGTGTTAGTCATAAATTCACCTTAGCCCCAGATTAGCCTTGCTTTTATCTTGGTTACTTTGATGTAATACTGTTTGTATTGTGTTGTCAGTTATGCACCCTTACAGTCATTCAGATAATTCAGTTCTGGATGACGTCATTGCATTAATCATTTAGACCAAGAGCTATCTCATCTGCTGGGCTGTCAGACAAACTGTGACATTCAACAAATCAGTGACCTGCCTTCTGTAGAAGAGCAAAATAAATTAAACAATAATGATAATAATAAAAAACTCTAGACTGGCTTGTGATTTTGTTGGGAACAAGCCTAATATGAAGAGAACACACACTAACACATTTTAAAATGTAATTCTAAAAAATGTATCATGATTTCCACAAAAATATTAAGTAGCACAAATGATTACAACATTTATATAAAGAAGAAGTAGCTTGAGCACCAAATCAGCATATTAGAAAGCATGGTTTCTGAAGGATCATGTGACACTGGAGTAATGGCTGCTGAAAATACAGATTTGCCATCACAGGAATAAATTAGTTTTAAATATATTAAAATACAAAACAGTTGTTTTGAAATGTGATAATATTTCACAATATTCCTGTTTTTACTATATTTTGATCAAATAGATGCAGCCATGGTGAGCAAAAGAGACGTCTTTCAAAAACAAAAAAATCTGACCAACCCCAAACTCTTGAAACACTTTATTATGTCAAAAGGTTACTTTTACAGGTATTCAGTGACTCATTGACTGAAAATATAACTCATAACAGTTCATTTTTATGGTAATCAATATTTATTTATTTAAAAAAAAAACTAAAGACTATAATTATAACTATTTATTTTAAATTACTAAAGACTGAAAAATTAATTTGGAGTTGTGTGATAGCAGTTTGCTGTACTATGTTTACTTGACACAACTGTGTGCTGCTCTCATCAGTCATATTCACCGTTTACAGCAGCACATTTCGCTGCGGTGACTCATCTAATTATTGGGTAAACGGTGATATGAAAGGGTGTGGCTGTTATATGAACGCAATAACCTCTTACTTTCTGTGTCCTCAGACTAGCAGCAGCCACTCACAAATCAGGATGTTATCCTATCTTACTCGCTGGATGTCCAGAGGTGCTTTCCAGGCACTGAAGGGGGCAAGCAGTCGGCCTCAACTGGTCAAGACACCTCATATTGGGAATCAGACTCTGGCAGCGGCTCCTCTGCCCTTCACTGGGGGGAGTCCAAGAGTAAGGCAGGCCCGGGCACTGGACCAGGAGAGACTACTGCAGATTGATTGGGATGATGGAAGTTGTAGTTTGTATCCATTCACCTGGTTAAGGGATAACTGCCAGTGTCCTCACTGCACACTGCAGTCCGCACAAGCACGCTGTCTGCTGTACACAAATCTGGACGTGCACACTGGAATGGACCAAGTACAGCTGATGGACAATAAGGTCGGTCTTGGTAAGCAAAGCTTAAAGGGATAGTACATGCTAAATAGAAATTTGTCATCATTTACGCATTATCATGATATTCCAAATGGAAACACAAAAGAAGGTGTTTTGCAGAATGTCCATGCTGCTCTTTTTGATTCAATACAAGTGGAAGGGGAATAGAGCTGTTGCGTTCCATAAATACTACATTGTGCTGTATTCCAGGTTTATTCACTTTATTCCCATCCACTGTGGTGCTTTTTTGTCATTTTTAAAGCTTGATGGCCCCATTCATTTTCATTGAATGGCAAAGAACAGGCCTGTTCACACCAATAAATGATAACTATAATGATAATTATACTGATAATGATATAATCGTCCACACACCAACACACAGTAACGGTTTGTTTATTGTAAGAAAATGCTGCTGTTTTGCCATCTGCCACTTTAAATGCAGGGTGGATTCAGATTGGCTGTCAATGTTTTTATCGTTCATCAGCTGGAAAAAAAATTGGTTTGAAATTGATTCCAACAATATTGTTCCTCTGTGCCCTTATATCGCTATACTGTAGTTGTTGTGTGGACTATTCTGTGTGGGCTATTTTTTTTTTAAATTTAGAACTATTTTTAAATCAATATACTGTATAGTTAGCGTTATAGTTATAGTTTTTTATGTGAATGGGCCTTTAGTCATAGAAGTTTAGAAACTAAATGAGTGAGAGTAAATGGGAATTCAAATTTTTGGATGAACTATTCCTTTAAACCTGGCTCTGTATTAAAACATTCTGAAACTAAAGCGAAATTTTCCAGGCAAAATTCAGTCATTTAAATAGGAATCTATATGAACAGATTGCTCTCGTGAGGGTGAAAGATTTCTCCATGCAGATTTCACATCACGCACATTCACTGCGTTGACCAACAGAAAGCTGCTTGAAACTGATTTCTGTGTGAGCTGTGCTTCACACATTGCTAAAATAATGATAATGGACAGTGGATAATGTGACTGCACCTAAACACTGTATATCTGCTGTACTATTGTAGTATTTCTGGTTAAGACAGTTAGGAAGTCTGCTGGATGCTCCAGCACGCAGTACTATGCTAGTGAGCAGCTATTCAGGGCTGCGTATCCCAAAAGCAACTATGGTCGCAAGTTCCGTCATTACCAAAAGAGTTCAATGGCACTAATGACCAAAGTTAGCTAACAATGGTTTGGGAAACGCATCCCTGGTCTTTTTACACCAAGTCATTGTCTAATAGTCCTTAAACCTGTTTTTCTGAAACTCATTGTAGGTGTCCATTACTTGGCCTGATCAGCACAGTAGTGAGTTTGATCCTGACTGGCTGAAGAAACGGTGTTTTTCCTCTGAGGCAAGACAGGCTCAGCAAGAGGAGCTCTTCCTTAATGGTGAGTTAATTGTGATCTATTAGTCTTCATTGCCATAATATTTGTATTAGCCATGTCTCTTTTTTAGCTATATACATCGCTAATCTTTCTATTATTTATATGGATATTATAAAAGAATGTATTTTATATAGCAACCTGGAGATTTTATTTTCTGTACGGTATAAAGCTGCAGTTCAGTTATTCTCTCGATGTGCCGCTTGAGTGTGTATGGGGTGAATCTGCCCTGTATTTGTTGATTGCCTTCTATAACATTGTCCCTATTAAGACACACTTTGAATTGAAATAAGAAATGTGCCTGATTCTTTCCGTTTACATATTTTTTTTTAAATAAAATGAAGACTGGATGGGTTTTGGTTTTTGTTTTAGACAGTTTTTAAGAATAGCTTCATATATAGTTGAAATGCACTCATGTAAGCTAATATTTGTGCAATAGCTGAATTAATGTGTGGTCTGGACAGCAGTTACTTTTGTAGTGCAGGCACTTCTCCCCAGAATCGCCCCTGAATGGAAAGACTTTTTCCACTTCCTGCCACATGGAATAAAGATTTAAGGGCATTTGAGAAGAGTGAGCTGTTGTGCTTACACCACTCTTGAGGGATGCTGTGGTTGGAGCAGACTGAACAATGTGTCTGCCAGAACAAGCATCCTGCACGTATTTGTGTGTCCTGAGATTTTAAGATTACATTTTCAAAATTAATGCACGTCACTGGGGCTTTGTAAGAGATTTTTGTGAGCCACAAATGTTCTTTAGTTTTAAACATCTTGCTATTGTTTTTAACTTTGTGATTTTCTCTTTGAAGTTCAGGAAATTATGCTGTTGTTTTGTTTAAAGGCACAAAAGGCATCCCCTTGTGCCCCTTAAATCAGTGAAAGACAACCAATACATTTCCACAGTTTAAAGCATAGACTACACATCACAAGTGTCTGCTTCTAGCTGAGGTGTAAAACACACAAGGCTTGCATGTGTTTAACAAAGCTCCTTAACTGGCACATAATATGACAAGTTCTGCCCCTTGTTTTAAGACCTCCCATATAAACTGTCTTCAAACTGCCTGAAAGAGGCCTGTAAAGCTCTCACCTTGCTATAATACGTCTGTCTTCGGCAGTAATCTACCATTAGCCATTTCCTGACAGGTTAGCACCATTTGTAGACAACTGATGTGTCCTTCATGGTCTTACTCAATCTCTCTACAAATGAGGACCATTTTGTGTCCATTTTTGTTTTTAAACTATTCATTTTTTTTAAACTCCAAGGTTTATATTAATGCAGTGTAAGTGGCTTATTTTTGTAGTATTAGAGGTGAGGCAAAATTGCAGTGTAAATAAGGATGAAGATAAGGATGCATTGATCCTTGATCAAAAATAACAGTGAGTAAAGATAATTATAATCTTAGAGGACATTTTTATTTTAATATGTGCTGTTCTGTTGAACTTGCTATTCATCAAAGAATCCTAAGAAAATGGATCATAATTTCCACAAAGCAGCAGAACTGTTTTAGCATTGATTATAATAAGAAATGTGAGATTTCTAAAGGATCATGTGACACTGGCTGCTGAATTCAGCCTTTTTTTAAACCACAAGAATAAAAAGCATTTTAAAATATACAGTAACATTAAAACAGGCAGTTACTATATTTTACATTTAATGACTGTTGTGTCTCTTATGCTCAACAAGGTTGTATACAGTATATTTAATGAAGTTTGAGATAACAGGCAATTAGGCTGAATTAGGTCACACTAGTATATCTCACACTAGGTTTTTATGACCCAGTGAACTGATTCAGTTAAAGGAGTTGTTCTAGTGTGGCTGTAGTGTCTCATTTACAAGAGGGCACAAGTGTGCTTTACTGCGGTCACAGCATGTCCTGGTTCAGCTGACATCATGATCCTTCAGAGCACCAAGACCGCATTGTTCCCGTCTAAGTTCAAAAACAGCAAAACAGTCACATTGCTGCATTAGATGAAAAACAGTTCACCCTTCCCACACAGAAAAAGACCACACTGGCACAGGGCAAAGACTAAGATTACTTAAATAACAGTTGAAGGAGTACTTTTAAAACCTTATTTTTCCAAATGGCTTATGGAAAACTAATGGTTTGACTCAAAAGAGGTGTCTTACTTCATTTTCTTGAGAAGCGCACGGGACGTGAACTGAATATAGGATGCTGTGCACACATGCAAATTGAGTTACTCAAATCATATAAATCTACTTTCCATATCCCATTTGGAAATGATCTCTGTAAGTGGTTTGTACTCTGGTTGTGAGCTTCTGTCTGTCCTGTTCTTAGTGAACTGTGCTCTGTGCTGAGTTCTCAGTAGGGACTCTGTTGACAGAGTTTGACTGGATGTAGCTGCCTGCCAGCTACAGCAGCCACGGCTTCACATTACCATTGCTGGAATAATCACAGAGGCAATGCTGAAGGAAACTGTTTAAGCACACATAAGCCGACACCTTTCTTTTCCGGCATGCCTTTGTGTGCATAAATGTATGCATTTCCATCTGTTTTAGAGACTGAAAGGGTCATTGACACATAATGTCAATTTTTATTAAAGTGTCTCAGTAGCCGCAGCTGGACAGAATGATAGCATGATATTAATCTCTGGCTCTGAAGTCAACATTAGCACTGCCAGGAAACCCTAGTATGTCAGTGAGACCGAGAATATTACACATTACACGCTTATAAGAGCTGAACATTACTGACCTGGACTGACTGAACCACTTCACCCTGGGCCCAGTGCCCAGCTCACTCGCTTTCGTTCTCTTTTTTTGATCAAATTTATACCAGAACCTCAAAATTGCTGTGAGATTGTGGGTGTTTTCTCTGCCTTGTGTGTCAGTCAATTTTGGTTTTGTTTGCATCAACTTGATTGCACGTTTATATGATTGCATATTCATACTGCATGCCAGTGTATATCATGACTAATTTAGCAACATGGTTTCCTCTCTCAGGGTTACATCTGTTTTCAATGCATTTTGTCAACTTGAAACTACACATTTTATTATAACTATGGTTGGTATCAACAAAATACAATTTTAGTAGTCTGCTGTGTGGCCTTCAGCTTCTAAATTTGAAACAGCAGCATTTTTAAGTGAGTCCAGCAAATACGTTCAGTAGTAAACAAACGGCCATGTTTCATTCAGATGTTTCATTTCAGTGACTCTAGTGATGCCAAACAGAAATGCATCAATAACTGTTTTCTAACAGGTTTCTTAAACATCCCCACATTTTTCACTGTTCAAACTTCAAGCTCTCCATTTACCCCCACTGCTTTAACTTTATTTGTATTTTTATGAGGATGTTTGTTATGAGCCACAATGAGACAGCTCTTATATTTGTGCTCATCACCATGGATATCCTGCATGTGTGTCAGCTGTGGTTAAATAAATAGATGCTCCTTTCTCTTCCAAGGGAAGTTTGCCGAGTTGGCATTGTGGCTTCTACCTAGTCGAGGTTTGGAATATACAAACTTTATTTATCCTGTTGAGGTGTGACTATGCCTCTAAGATAATATACATCTGAGAAATCAGAAGCTTATTCATGCTCATCGTCATGACAAAGTATCTTGAAGGGAGTATCTGTGCCAGGTATGCTACCATTCCATTTTTTGTTTTTTCTTTATGTTTTTCAAAGTCTCTTATACTCACCAAGGCTGCATTTATTTGATCAAATCAGTATTATTGTGGAATATTATTATACAGTAATTTAAAATAACTATCATCTGTTTAAATATAAATACATTTTAAAATGTCATTTATTTCTGTGATGGCAACTGCTCCAGTCTTCAATGTCAAATGATCCTTCAGAAATCATTCTAATATGCTGATTTGGAGCTCAAATTGCCTTAATGTTAAAAACAGTTTTGCTTTTGTGTTTTTCAGGATAACAGTTTTAATTAATTAATCACACTTGTATAGCATTATAAATGTCGTTCCTGTCACTTTTAATTAAATTAATACATCCTCACAGAATAAAAGTATTCATTTCATTTTTTTTCTTTCTGACCCCAGACTAATGAATGGTAGTGTACATGACTTCTTAAATCGGGAAATAATTGGTCAGGAGTTCTTTTCTTTCACTTGCTGGTCCTGAACTATATTTGTCTCTGGATTCTAAACTGTGACAAATTCGCCAGTGGAACAGTTTTCTAAATTGAGAAAAGCTGAGAAAGAGGTGCGAGGCTGAAAAATACTTCTACAGCACAGAGGTCCAAGCAGTGAATTATAGACATAAGTGCAGAACGCTTGCTCTCACATGCACACATCTCTAGAGACCCTGTCTGTGAAAGTAGACATAAGAACCAGTTTTCCAGCAGTACTGCTTCAAACATGCAGGCCCTCACACAGTGTTCTGACCAATGTGTTCTGGCCTTAACCCTGACACACACACACACACACACAGTCCTTCATTATATTAAGACACTTATGGTTTTAGGTGCAAAGTTTCTATCATGTGTTTATTTGCATTGTAAATCAGGGTGCTTAGAAAAGGAGTAACAGAGATAGGAAAGATAGAGAGATAAACATGTTTAGCTTGGAAAGGATTTGAGCTACTTTTGGAGTAATGCTGACATCATTCCCACGTTATTATATAGACTTGAGCCTCTGTTGACTTTGCTTTTTATTTTAACACTGGACCTTCTAATGCAGAGTTTCCCGAGCTAGGTTTTTTTGTGGTGGAACTTCAAGCGGTTCGTGAGTTGCTAAAAAAAAAATAAAAAATTTATTAAATCATAAAAAATATAAAATTATGAAAATGAGGTTTCTGTTTCTTTACACTTCATGACACTAGACACTAAGTTGTGTTATTTCTCTGTGATGTTTTGTGTTGTGCATTGTAATGTGTATTTATATGCATATCTGTGTTTCAGAGCGTGAATACTGGGATTCAAGTCTGCAGATCCCTACAGCTGACTTTGAGGAAGTTCTACATGATGACAAGGCTGCCCTGGCCTGGCTAGAGGCTCTGAGACGCATTGGCATTGTCTACCTGAGGGGGGCGCCAGCAGAGCAGGGCCAGGTGGCCAGACTGAGTCAGAGGATTGGCTATCTACGCCTCACCTTTTATGGGTATGGACTATATCATCATCATCAAAACCTTATTAAGGACACACATGGTCCAAAAAACACAGACAATACAAAATAAACAGACTAAATCTGACTGAACTAAGTGCTGGGTTCGACAGCGTTGAAATTATACTATAGCTTTGGCTGCACTCTAATTAAAGCAATGAAATGCCTATTTTTAGATAATCATAATGATTTAACCATTTAGTGAGCAAAGACACAATACAGTCATTTTAATACTGCAGACTTGGAAACAATGGAGTAATAGGAGTCATACTGACAACTAGTATTACTACTTAGTAAGTAGTACTTACCCAGTGATCAAGAAGTTCTATCTAGATGATTCTTTAACTGACTGCCTATTTATGTAGTGCAAAATATGCAAAAATATTCAGTCTGTCACTGGAACCTATACGAAAAATAATTATGTACATTTCAAACCCGGTCAAACTTCAATTACAATCTAATTTCCATTTCAGAAATTGTTAAACTGATTTTGAACATCTGTGACTCTGTGTTTACACCAAAAATTGTGCAAAACTACCATTTATGCCAGAATTGCCATTCTCACTCCAAGATCTACAAAGAAAGACAAATAACTTACTGCAAAGGGCACAAACCCATCATTCATGGAAAACGAAATATGGTGTGATGAGTAATGTGGTCTGATCTTCCACCCTAATGCGTTACATCTGGACAGGTTTATAATTGAAGGAAATAAAAAGTCCCTCAACCCACAATGTCTGTTGAAAACATGGTAGTAGATGTGTAGTAGTCAGGCCACCCGTCTCGTTAAGTCTGGGCATTCTCTCCAACAGCCAACGAAAACTAGGCCGTTTTAAAGGACCAGGTGCATCTTATAACCACATTTTCTTCATGAGATTTTTTTTGGTCTTGCTAGTTTGGGGTCAGTAAGAATTTTTAGATAATGTTTTTGAAAGTCTCTTATGCTCACCACGGCTGCATTATTTAATCAGAAATACAGCAAAAACAGTAATCCTTTTTTTTTTACGTATGTTTTCTAATATTGTCTTTACTGTCACTTCTGATATAGCTAGTTTCTCAAACGCCAAAACTTGTTAGACAGCATTTTAAGAAAGATTAAAATTAGTCAAATGACCTTAACCTGCCATTATACTTGGCATTGGTATGTTGTCAGGTATTTCAGTTATTTTGCCCATCCCTGAGAAGAATAATGGTTGTTATTACCTTTATCTCTAGTCCTCAAGTCCTATTTCTGTTTCTGCCACACGCATCTTGGCTATTGACTTGAGAGTAAAGTAGTGTGCAAAATTGGTAATGCAAGCACAGAACCATAGGACTGTTCCTTTTGAATATGATTATCATGGATGTCACAGCATGAGTCATTGGTCTACGCCATCCTTTGATGAAAGCATTTCGTGCTGTAACTGTTGGCCAACAATCAGAAAAATGTTCTGTTTTCAAAGAAAAAAAACTGCCTCTGACGGCATCTGAATGAATGGGAAATGATGTGAAAGAGCTTTGCTTTACACTCAGTTAAAACTTGTTCCATTGCTCTAGACTTACTGAGCCCATTTTATTAATCAAAAACCATTGAGATTCTGATTTATTTTCTTGCCAAACACCAAAGCCTCTCACAAGATCATGTAGAGAACATTTTTAATAAGTAAGGATGAGTGAATGGAAACCACAGCCTAGGACAGACAGATAGAGGAGCTGGAGAAAAGAGACAGAACAGAGACAGACACACCGTGAGCTTCTGGCTGTAATCACAAATCCATGCATGTGAACTCCCTCTCAGCTGACAGCTGTTAAGTGACAGGCTGAATGATTTAACACCGCACTAGCCCCAGGAGCTCGCTCAAACTGGCCAAAAAGCAGCTTCACCTGACCCAGACTGGAACAAAAAGCACTGCATCTGCTAAATCAAGATTTCACTGGCTAGGGATCTTCAGACTGAAGGAGGAGGCCATGGTGTGTCTGACATGGAGGATTCTAGTGTCTAATATGGTCTTATTGATACCACTAATCTGCCTAATTTCCTTTGAAAAGCCACAAATACTCCTCTTTCACACTCTTACTTCCTTTGTTTTCAATTTGATAACAGGAGAAAATAGTTTTTTATAGAAACCAAAAATGTGTCTAGGTTTGTGCTACCAAACCTGCTTTTTTTGTGGGCACAGAGGAAAGAAGTTTTTTTTTAAAGGGGTCATATGATGCTGCTAAAAAGAACATTATTTTGTGTATTTGGTGTAATGAAATGTGTTTATGCGGTTTAAGGTTCAAAAAACATTATTTTCCACATACTGTACATTATTGTTTCTCCTCTATGCCCCGCCTTTCTGAAACGCGTCAATTTTTACAAAGCTCATCGGTCTGAAAAGACACACAGCGTCTTCACAACATGGCGGCGGTGGCGGTGGCAGCAACAATAAAGTTACGCCTTCTTTCTTTGCGTGAACATTTGGGCAGCTTTATGCAAATCTTCCCATACAGTGACGTAGACATGTGGGGGCGTGCTAGAATGAGGCGTGGACGAGTCTTAACTTTTATAAAAAATATCTCTTTGGGTTTGAGACTTTAGTCTTTGCAACTTCAGGGATCTTATCTATGCACGAACAGCTTGTAACACTCCAAAGAGAAAGGAAAACTTGAAATCGCATTATATGACACCTTTAATGAAAAATTTCCAATAGTGTCTGAAGAACTCAACTGAATCAAAAAGGCTGGTTCTGGATAAGCCAGCAGTGATCTCTGTAACATTATATAATCCATATTTGCTTTTTTATTGTTTATTAAAGTCTTGCAAAAATATATTTCTTATTTTATTTGTGTCTTCCAGTAAAATATCATAGAAAAAAACTAAATTGTTTAAGACTTGTATTCAGATTCAGTTAATTTTAGGCTTAAAACAGTGAAAAAAAAAATGTGGAAAATAGGAAAAAATATTAAGATACATAAAAATACAAGATATATATATTTTTTAAAACAAGCTTAGTTTACACAGATACACTTCTGAAATAAAAGACTAAAATAGTAATTACAAGTAGTAATTTTTTTGCTATGCAGTGAGTAGTTTCAAGAATTCACTACCAAAAAAATCATTATTAATCATTAATTTTTTTTTTAAATCATTGAAAATCATTATTCATTTCTCGCACTGCGTTGCCATAACAAAAATGTCTGCTTTGTTCATTGAAGTGATTCCTTAGTCTTTAAATTTACTCTCAAGACCGTACTAAATCAAGTAAGCATTTTACTGCTGTGGTTTCCTACAGTAAATACATGGAGAAATGCAGTAAAACTTTACAAGCCCATAGCCCACCTGTTCTGATCCATCGCCCCCTCTATGATTTCACAGACACACATGGCAAGTGCAGGACAAGCCCATGGCTAACAATGTTGCCTACACTTCTGGAGAATTGAGCCTGCACACAGATTACCCTGCTCTGCACCATCCACCTGGAGTGAGTATACACACACACACACACACACACACACACACACACACCATACTGTGGTGTGTTACTCATGAAGGTGAGTATATGCATTCTTTAGATCATGATGGGACTTCCCTGTATTGTGTTTTATAAAAATTAATCTAATTAAAATTATTACACCCTAAATAGATAATAGAATAAATAATTAATTTCACGAGAGGACTTCTGTTGTAATTCCTCTGGTTGTAGGTGCAGTTCCTGCATTGTGTCCGTCAGGCTGCTCAGGGCGGAGAGAGTGAAGTGGTTGATGGGTTTCACATGGCGGAGCAGCTCCGCAGGGAGGATCCTGAGGCGTTTAACATCCTCTCCTCGCTCAGGGTGGATTTCACAGACAGCGGTGCTGACTACTGTGACTTCAGCGTGCAGTCCAAAAACCACATTATAGAGTAAGACAGACTGTGGCTCCAGCAGACGCATACATACTCACATAATCACGCATAGCTAATGCAATGGTCCCATCTCATCTTCATCAACACTGACTATATGTAAATAATGTAAAACAGCACCATCTCATGTTCAGTTATAGAACTGGGAAGCAGTTTTAGCTGGTCTCCCAGCCTGGCTTGGCTGGTCAAGCTGGTTTTAGCTGGTTGTTCCAACTGGTCTCCCAGCCTTCTCCCAGAAGTGGCCAGGACCCCTCTAAAACCAGCCTGCTGACCAGTTATGACCAGGCTGGTTGACCAGCTAAAACCAGCCAACCAGCTTAGGCTGGTTTTACCTGTATTTTCAGCAGGGAAAATTGTTCTGTGGTTGCTCTTTCCCATGCAATTCTAAACAGCAGCAATACACTGTAGTAGTTCTCATAAATCCCTGGTAACTTTCAATACAAGCTTGTATGTAATGTGCAGTGTGGACTCTGAGGGTCGGGTGCAGCTAAAGAAGTGGCCAGGACCCCTCTAAAACCAGCCTGCTGACCAGTTATGACCAGGCTGGTTGACCAGCTAAAACCAGCCAACCAGCTTAGGCTGGTTTTACCTGTATTTTCAGCAGGGAAAATTGTTCTGTGGTTGCTCTTTCCCATGCAATTCTAAACAGCAGCAATACACTGTAGTAGTTCTCATAAATCCCTGGTAACTTTCAATACAAGCTTGTATGTAATGTGCAGTGTGGACTCTGAGGGTCGGGTGACGAGGATCAACTATAACAACGCCACACGAGACTCGGTGCTGGATATGCCTGTGCATCAGGTTCAGCCCTTCTACTCGTCTCTAAAGGCCTTTGTGGAGCTGCTCAGCAGGCCTGAAAACGTGTTCACATACAGAATGGAACCAGGTCAGTGTGGTCAGAAACAGCCACACAGTTCACCTCTTTACCTAATCAGACGGTTGTTATAGCACACATTTGTACTATAGTTGACAGTCATAATTGCATAATAGGCAAAGATGAAGGGTTTTAGGCTTATGAATTTGGGATTAGGCTCAGGCTTTGGAAACTTTTCTATTTGAAATCTAATGCCAGGGTTTTCAAAAATAATCACTAGAATTAGCCCATATTTAAAGTACTGTATTTTGAATCCCACAAGCTTTCCCTTTGCTGCTAGCCTTCTTACTAAACCAAATATGACATTGCATGTATAAATGTGGGACTGATGCTGGTTGTTCATTTCATCTCTGCGCAGGTGACTTGGTGACTTTTGATAACTGGCGTCTGTTGCATGGCCGAAAGAGCTACCTGTCACGAGGTCAGAACTCCAGACATCTTGAAGGAGCATATCTGGACTGGGATGAGGTCATGTCCCGTCTCAGGATCCTCCGGAAAGCTGTCCGTGGAGATAGGTAGACACTTCTCTTCATCCTCCACACTACAGTGACAGTTATGATAGGAAGCAAAGTTGATGTCTAATCCGTACTCTGGATTTAGGCTAGCGTTGCTTCGTGATAACTTTAAAAACATCTCTTCACTGTAGAAAGCTTCAGGGCCTAGGGATATTTTCTGTTGGGCATATAAGTTTTGGCAAGTGGATATTTGTTAATATAATACTATAATTGCTTTTTTTTCTGAAGGGGTCTTGGAGTCTTCAGCTCTTAGAAAGTGCAGTCATTTTCTTTGTCTTGACGTATTACTTGTTCTTTGGTAAAAGGGACAGTTTGCCAGAGGTAATTTGGTTTTAGTCTTCATATGCTAATGACGATCACAAGTGATGGTGAAATTTTGTTTAAAACTAAATATTTAGCATATGTATGGACAACTGCCCAAAATATGGTTCTAGTTTGAACTAATTCAGTGGGTTCATTCTAAAGCACGAATGTTTTCATCAGTTAGTCCATGTTGTAACAAAAGTGACATCTCTGGCACAGTTTGAGATTTAGTTTGTGATGTATATAATTTTCCCTTTTATGTATTTCACATATGGTGTCAACAGAACTAAACGTTTTTAGCCAACCTTTGTTTTTTACAGGGATTATTGTTTCAACGGTCAGTACTTTTCCCTCTCCTCCACACAAACATTCTTGTAAGACCAATCATGATTAATGGTAGTTGGTAGTTTCCCCTTTTATTCTCTAATGAACCATACAGTTTATATTTGCTTGTATTGTAAATAGTAGTTTGGACAATAATGAGACATTGACTCTTAAAGAGAAAAATGTTTTTGTGGTACAAAATCTTTTATAAGCTGATGTCCAAAACAAAGTGTCAACAAAGTTTGATATACTGTATGGAGATCGGGTATTTCATCAGTACTTGTATACTGATTATAGACCAGTAGACCTTAAGCTCTTTGATACTTGAAAAGGCCTCAAATATGAAAATTTTAAAGAAAGAAAAACTGGCCAATTTGTACTAAATGCAGTAACAATGCAAATATAGCTTATGTGGCTAATGACTGTAATTAGCAAATTAGTTGCAAACCAGCTATAGCCTAATTTTTTTGTAAATACAAAATGTCGATATTTAAAAAGCTCAGGATTTTGAGCACCTCCGGTAGGCTTTTTTGGATGGGCCTCTATGTAACAATGCAATGTTTATAAAAAAAATATGCTGGAATTGAAGTGTTTCAATGATTTAGGAGGACGCTGACAGAGATTATTTTTTTCCCCAAACCCCAAAATGTATAGTGGTGATTATTGTGTTATGACAATGTTATATTTATATTTGATGATTTTATAGTTAGTTATCCATTTAAAGTATTTGACAAATGGCTTTTTAAAAGCACAATAAACTTAGTTTTTATATGGTCAGAAAAAAATCCCTTAATAGATAAATTTATTATGTGACCGCTGAATATTAATTGTAATTCATGCAGTAACAATATGCACACTCACAGAATCGGGTCGGACATCTTTTATTTCCATATTGCCAAAGCTGTACAGGTTCTATAAATATTTTTAAATGCTGAAATATTTACATCCATGTCTCTATTTTTTTCCTTTCCCTCTTGTTCTAAACAATAGGCTAAAATGAAAGCCCAAATAATGTGCAACTGTATCTCTCACACTTTCAAACAACATACCTGATCCACTGTCCAACTCAAAACATCCGTTTTAGGAGACTTGGACTCTGGGAAATCAGTTTTGTGCTATTTACATCTCTAAACCAATACTGAGTGGGCTCAAGTCCATTTACAGTCTGCATACAACAACTCAATTGAATGGAGATGCAAAACAACACTTCATACATTTAAATTATTAAAAATGTGAGCAAAACATAAAAGAACATTAAAATATGTAAATGTGACAGCTGTACTGCCAAATCTAGTAGTCAAAAAGAGATGAAACGAGAAAATCTGCACCTCTATGAACAGACACAATCTCTTGCCATCTGTGTTTCTAACACAAACACACACAATCCCACAGACACACACAAACGGGAAGAGGACACTTCAAACAGGACATTTTGGACAAGACTTTTCCATCACTATTTAAACAATCTCCAAATGCATCTGTCTTATAGATTAATAATGCCTTTTTTCATCGCTGTGTCAAAGTAATGACAACAAATGAACAGAAAACATGATGCCTGATCTGCTCTCTGGTCTCCTCGTTATGAACACACAGTGGATGAACTCTTGAGGACATGACTGGACTTGTTCTTGGTACCCACTAGTGACAGTATTGCACATCTAGAAAACAAACTACAGTATTTCCTAAACATTTTAGTTGCTTTTTCAGCATTGCTTCAGAGATGTACAGATTCCTTTTTTTAAATATTCTTTTTTTTTTTTTCAAGTGACATGCAAATTTAACAGCAGTTCACAAACAGGGAACTTTACAGCAGAACTAGTACAGTAGTTTGAGCCTTTTGAGCTAAAGAGATACACAGACCTTAGACCACTTACAGCAGGTGGAGGAGGGCAAATGGAACATTTACGAATGGGACAGCTGCTCCGTCATGGACGGTTGAGGCAAACCCCTCATACGTGGCAGCGCTAGATTGCAAAGACTTGAACATTTCACCCACCACAGACAGAACAGACTGGAATTTACAGTACAACTTAGCACATAAATATTAAATACACAGCCTGTTGACTGATATCAGAGGGGGCTAAAGAGGGGAAAGACGTTTGCCTGATGTCTGCATGCTAGTGCCAACTCGCAAGAGCTGCGCATGGGACCTGCATGCAACCAAATGCCTCTAATTGAAATAAATAAAAGTGTACAAATGTGAGGACGTCAACCAATAGTAGTCAAAGTCTGTTCTTCTGGTTGGTCCATATTATGAGAATGAAATGCCAGCATTTTAGTGTCCAAGGACTGGAAAATTATATCAGATACATTATATGAACAGGTTGTTTCTTTTAGGATGAAAGTGTAGAATATGTGAATGCATCTACATTTGAATCGGTACAGGAGCAGAGGTCTTTAAAAAGGAGCTTGGCAGGAGTGTCAGCTTGTATTGAACATGAGTAGTATTGCAGGGAGTTCAGGAGTTGAAGTAAACATAGGAGAGAAGTGTGCTAGCTCGGTAGTGGACGAGGGGACAGCATCTTGGGCTTGCCCTCTGACTCTTTCCCCTTGACCGCCGCCATGTAGGAGAAGAGGCAGAGCACCGAGTAACAGATCTGGTGTGCCTGTCCAAGACAGAACAGTTAACAGTTATATATGTATATTCTTTATACAATATAGATTGAATCAAAGCAGCTTTATAGTGATAAACAGGAAAATCAATGATGCAAACGCAACAATTCAGATTCTGTTGTAAAGCAGCTTTAAAAGACAATTGTGTAATTTAGATCGAGTCAGTTCAGCATTTGTTCAGTTCAGATAAACAAATGAAGATCATAAATTCAATTCAGCTACAAGCAATTCCTCAAAAGGGAACAAAGTTGAATGTTATTCAGCTTGAATCAGTTCAGTATTGATTCAGTTCTGTTCAATAACAGTGTCAATGTTGCAAGATGCGACTCAGCTGTTAAGTGTAGTCTTACTCAGGAAAAATGACTAATGATATTAAAAAAGATTTACTATTGGAATATTAAAAAAAACATTGAAATCAGAAGCTGCATGTTAATTGAATCTGTACTGATACCCAGCTCTACTGTGTAGTACTTTATGAATACTGAAATCTTACCATAGGAGTCTTGTACTTATGGATCACCACTTCTTTAGTTTCAGGAACTGCAAATCCCAGTGCAAGACACAAAATAAAAAGTTCAACAGCAGTGGAATAACAAATATAAAATATTCAAGGCCAGGGTGCAGACACAGAGAGAAAGAAAGAGTGATCGAGACAGAGAGAGAGAGAAGGGGAGGCATACATAAGGCCTATGACAAATTAATATTAATAATCTATATCTGACCCCTGCACATTTCAGACAGAGCTACAGAGCACTGAATCTTGCAGCAGAAGAGCAGCACTCATAAAGATCATATGACTGAACAGGATTTATCATCAGTAGACGTTTCCCACAAGACTGAGAAACTCTTATGCAATGGGGAACTGAATCAAGGCAGGCTCAAGGAGGAGAAAGAAAGCCAGAGGAAAAAAGATGGGGGATAGATGGAGAAATCAGAGAGAGAGAGAGAGAGAGAGAGAGAGAGAGAGAGAAAGCAAGAAAGGGAATATCACTGAAAGTTAAAGCTGGAAGGAAATCCGGGGCCTGCTGGGTTTTTCCATCACTTATGGAATGACTTTTACTACAGGCATGAGTGTATGAACTCGAGTGTAGGAGAAGCGACATCTGACATCAAGGCAGTGCAGTGCAGATGAGCAGTCGACAGCCATTAGTGGTGAAAAAGGATGTATGCGAGATGATGACAGATGTAGAGTTAAATGAGGAGGACAGGTTAAGAAAGAGAAGAAAAGATAAAGGTGACAGCACTTTACCTGCTGGAGAATGAAGGTTTTCATAGCAGCAAAGATGAGGGGCGGATTACAAAAAGGAAGCACAAAGACACAGCACTAACCCAGTCTAGAGCGACTCTGGGACTACAGAAGAGACTTCATACACTGCACCTTCCCTTCATTGTACATATCTCCAAAAGCACCGGTCTCTAAAATCTCTACATGGTTTAGTTATTATCTAACTCTATAAAGACTTCTATTCTGGAGACTGACAATTTTGGTTGAAGTATCACTTAAAGCAGTATTCCTGATGAAAACCTATGACTCCTCCTCCAAAAGATGCATCAAAGGAAACAACTACAATCTAAAATGGAACTGATCAGTTCATTCGTCACGAAAGAACTTGAACTGTGCATCATTTCCTCAAAGCTGCTGATGGCGTGCAAGACCTTATCCACCGGAAGAATCCTTTTCCTCCATGCCAGAGGTATCATGATGTCTTGTTTTAGCTAATAAACAGAGCATTTCTTTACCAGTTAACACTACATAAAGCTGTTAGCTTGCTAACTGAAGATGCATTGAAAACACAAAGAGGGAAAAGTTTGATTTAAATGTTTTCTATAATACAGTGTGATATGTGAATAATAAAAACATTATTTTAACAGATTGTGATAAGTATTTTCACGTTATACCCGATAAATAGATGACATTAAAATTATGTAGTATTTGACTAAATATAACTAGAATTTAGAGCTAAAAAAATCTAATCAATTGTTTCAGTTGATAGTGAATGGATCACAAAATTATCATGGTGAGTATGAAAAATGCATAATTTGTTTAAAGATCACATTTTATTAAATTTATATTACATTATTTGTGTTTTTACAGATGAATGTTAAGCGAGCATTTCTAGATGGCAAAGTACAAGTAGAGGAAATGAGCATACATTCTTAAATATACAATCCCTGGTGTTAATACTCTAACTGGAACATTAATATAATATTAATAATAAATACACCAGTCTCAGCCAATGGAATGGCTTTGGGTCCAAGGGGAACAGGATTCTGCAGGCAGATAGGATTCTGGTTTATTTTGGGCGTTACGTTTCATGTAACGTCATTCACAGACTGCATTACAGGAGCAACAGCTAAAAACAACGGTCCTACGGTCTTATATATAACCTTTGCTCCTAAAGCTCATACAGTCGTTCAGATCACCACATCTAACAGTACTGAACATGATAACTTCTCTGCTCTGCATGTGACTGGGTTACTGCTGTGTCGCGTACAGGCCTAGAATCAAAATGGGGGTAATTACCAAACTCCTCCAGGACAAAGACTCCTTTCACTGTATTGCACTTTTTAATGTGACTCAGCTCTATGAAAACCTAAAAAACAAACAAAAACAAACAAAAAAACAACAGGACACACTGTTACCAACTCAATCACACACTTGTGGGAAAACAAAAAAAGTATTTTCTGAAGAGATGACAATCTGGACAGTAACTGTAAAAACTAGGGAGAAACGAAGAAAGAACATGATAAGCAAGCTGTTGAGAAGCTATCAGAACTAAAATATGACTGCACAGAAAGAGAAGTTTCCATGCTGACAGGATTACATGGGCCAGTGACGCAAATGGAGAGCCGTGAAACTTTCAACATCTGAGCAGTCTTCATATTCTTGAGAGTAAAAATAACCCCAGATCTATATTTTTTGTCATTTTTCATTTGTATTAAATTAATCAACAAGTCAACACCCATAGCTGTTAGGAGAGTCTCGCTTTCAAAAGAAGCACTGTGTATTTACAATACTTGTCCAGCCAAGAGGAGAACTGCCTTCGTTCTACACTATTCATTTATGACGTGTTCTTGAGGCACTTGGAGACTTGTATAACAGATGTATTTTTGAAGCACTTAAAACTAAAGAGCTAATATAAACCCTTCAGCTGTGACCATTTGCACCAAAAGTGGGAACGAAATCATGGCACTGATCCCCCTACGTGCTGAAAGGGCCCATGCAAAGACATCCATGGAAAATTCCATCATCAGAAAAAAAAGACAGACACACAGACCAAAAAGAAACCAAAAAAAAAAAGAGAGAGAAAATAATACAAAAGACATCAAAAAATAAGCACATAAAAAGTGGCGTCTGCCAGAAAAGCTACAGTACAAGGAAAAGAAAGAAAAAGTAAATGAAAATGGTACACTAAAAAGCAAAGACTGCAGAGGTTGTGTACCTTCCGCTCCTTGCAGGGGGAGAGAGCATGGGAGAGAAACGGTTTGGATTATTATTGGACAAAAAGAGCACAAAACACCCTCTGGTGCTACGAGCCCACCCTTACGGTATTGAAAAACAACCGCTGATTCCATCCAGAAGGAACAAAGTCTTTGTACATTAGCTGTTAATATCTTACATTATGTTTACGTTAGTTTTGAATCCCTGATGTGTTCCCACCCCATTACCCTCCATGCCTCCTCCACCAGCAATGAGGACCAGCTCCCTCACACATGCCTACAGCCAAAACAGAACAGTGCCAAAACCATTACAACACACACAACTACACTACATAAACGATTTTTCAATTCAAAGTTTTACAGTTTCAATAGCGCTTAACTCTGCTGACATTTTACTTCTTAGCACTCTTTAAAAGCTCAAGTAACTGACTAGTGACCACTGCGAGGCACCCAAGTCCTCATATTATAGCGACATTTTGTTATTATTTAGTCAAGCTCATCTAGTTCCAAGCCTGTCATTCCAGCTCCTTCTTCTGCGGAACAGTTTCGGTGACCATTTGACTCCCATTTTTTGGGACAAAAAACTGACATCTCTCAAAATATCTTCTTTTACATTCCACTGAAGAAAGCAAGTCCCACAGGACTGGAACGACATGAGGGTGAGTAAACGGGTGAACTATCACTTTAAGGTCTTACAGCAGTGGAAGACTATAACCTAAGATAACCCAGACAAAAGACGTATGTTGGATACAAATAAAAAATATGGCTTATTTAAGGTTTGCATTGTTTCCTAATTGGTCTAGTCTTTTCCAGAGTTTCAGTGTTCCGTAACTACTGCTTCTCCTCCTTGAGGGAGTTCAATGGGATATGAGTTTTTTCAAATCAAACAGAAACCAGGATTTTGTTTTCTATACATAAGTTCAGTTCACATTAGAGCTTTATGAACAGCAAAGTAACAAGAGACATAACCAGGTTAAATAATCCCAGAACAGCAATATTAGGTGCAGCAGAAGGCGGACATATGGTCTTAATCACTTCAAGTAGAATATATCATATATGTATAATTAAAAACTATTAACAGATTGTCTCCCATTAGAGACAGTTTAAAGCATATGTTTATATAGTTGGTTAATTCAATTTATTAGAATTAAAACTCACTAAAGTGGTTTTAAAGTGGGTTTTAAATAGAAAATGTATTCTTTCAATCTCCCCAACAATGTATTTTGTACATTTTGAATATGTTTTGCACAAGGTTCTACATCTTACCTCTGGCACACCACAACAAACCGACATCACACCAACACACTCACAAACCGTAAGAACCAGAGCTGGGCGCCGTGACCAATAACACGTCATACTAACACACACAGCGGGTGGAATGTTCTGACATTTGAAAAAGTAAATCTCTGCTTGTGATTATGCAACCCAAAAACAAACAGCCAGCAAATATAGCCAAACAACAACGAAAAAAAGAAAACAGCTATTCCTCTAAGAGATTCTTCAGGAACAACACTTACAGACCTTTTCCATATTTTAATTTATTTTAGAGTCTAATATCAAAACAAATGCTTCATACTTTGATTATTTAACTTTTTAGGGCATTTTCTTATTACTTTGTCAGTTGTTCCAAAAAAATTCTCAAAGGAAGACAGGTACGAATAGAAAGAAAGAGTGAGAGGAAGGAAAAGAGATGATGAGATGAATACAGACGAGAAGTGTCAGAAAAGAGAAACAGGATTGGATGGAATGAGAATGAGAGGAAGGGTGGTGTTGAATCTGGCAAGCACTTCGTCGTGGTTATGATAAATGCAACACCTCCTACCTGGCTATGCATAAATTTGAGGTTGATGCCTTCCAGCGTGACCTGAAGGAGACCACCCTCCCCTGTTTTCATGTCCTGTACTGGAAACTCGCCTCCCAGCTCTGGACCTACACACATGGGGGGAAAAAAAGCAACTAGCAGTGAGAAATAAAAAAAATACTTTGTTTATTCCAGCAACAAGAAGCGGGATATTATATATCCAATAATACAAGGAGAAAATTGGGCCACTTTCATTGAGATGACTGCCTAAAGCAGTCCATTTGAACTTAATTTACCCTACAAACCCATGCACTACAGTTCAACAGTTTGGGGTCAGTAAGAATTTATACTTTTTATTCAGAAAGGACACAATAAAATGCTTACAAGCAATCGTAAAGATTTCTATTTTGAACAGCATCTTGAAAAATCCAAAAAAAAAAAAAAAAAGTCTCTTGGTTTCCACAAAAATATTAAGCAGCACAACTGTTTTTAGCCGTGATAATAATAATAAATATTTCTTGAGTACCAAATCAGCATATTAGAATGATTTCTGAAGGATCATGTGACACTGAAGACTGGAGTAATGGCTGCTGAAAATTCAGCTTAGCCAACAAGGAATAAATTAAATTTTATGGATTTAACAGTTTACTGTAATTTTTTATCAAATAAACGAGCCTAAGAGGCTTTTTCCCCCTCAAAATTATTACCAAAAAAAAAAAAAAAAACTACCAAAAAAAACCTTACCGACCCAAAACTCTTGAATGGTTGTGTACAAAGATGCACAATGTACCTGGTTTGATGCTTTGTTGTCGTGCGGCAGCACGCTCCATGCTGTCTTTAACACAGTAGTACAGTTCCCGACACTTAACACACAAAAACACAGAGAAAGAGAAGTACAGTGACTGATTCCCATTTCCACTGACTATACTGAAACAATATAAAATCTGTGAACTGAGAATGAGACCGTCACATTTTGAAGTATGTGGTGTGTGTGTACTACAGTATGCCTTTGCATTGATGTGTGTCCTACCTTCTTGGTGTAGAACTTGTTAAGCTGTGTTTCTTGACCGTTCCTCCTCCACAGACACAACACTTTGGTCTTGGGACAGTAGGTCATATTTATGAGCTTCTCATACCACCAGCGCTCATAGACCGTGCCAATGTTACTGCGCAAGACGATGCAGTCATCACACACCTAAACACACACGAGGATGAGGAAAGAAGGACTGAATGCTCATTTACAATACGTTTTCATGCAGACTTGTTAAATGAGGCACACGGCTACACAAAACTCATACCTCCATGAAAAAGATATCACCAGTTGTATCAGTCCCAGCATGCACGACAAATGTCTGCTTCTTAATGTGCCGGCTGCCACTTGGCCTGATGGGAAGCTCCCGGCCACTCTGCAACAAAACAAACGATCTCTCAATCACTCATAACCTCATTCTGATAAGTTTGGCTACTGGTTTCCATGCAATAGCTGTAACGCTTCATTTAACCGTCTCTAACCAAATGTGCGAGGCGGTCCAGGACTTCATTGATCTCTTGACTGTGTGAGAGGCCAATGTGAGATTTCCCCATAAGCCGCCGTACCTTCTTCCTGATGTCGTTTTTATTGACCTAGAGAACAGTAAGAGTTAATATTAATGTTAGTTGATATTTTTGTGGAAGCCATAGTGCTTTTTTCCCCAGTAGTCTTTAATGAACAGAAAGTTCAAAAGAACTTAAGATATTTGAACCATAAATCTTTTGTAACATTATAAATGTCTTTACTGTCACTTTTGATCAAATTAATGCATCCTTGCCAAATAAAAGCATTGATTTCTTAAAATGCAATTTTAAGTGAAGTAAAAAATTAATTACTGACCCCAAACTGTTGAATGCTAGTGCCTGTATATATACTGTATATAAATGTAAATGACTATATGTCACAACTGAACCGTTCACTTTAAAAATCTCCATATTCACTTAAATATATACGTGCATACCTTTATCATAAGCATGTAGGCGATCATGTTATGCAGGAGAGTGGCCAGTAGTCGGTCCTCATCGTCCTCCAGTCTCTTGCGATCATGCTCTCCCAGAGACAGATACCTGAGAGACCACAGCACAGTCGTATTTGGACAATATAATACAAACACAACAGCACAGTTTACATCTGAATCCTAGCATGACTAAATAGCTTCTAGCTTAAACCATTCCAATATGTTGTCATTCTCCCGGAGCAGAACATGTGAAAGCATTTCAGCACAGTCCGATGGGTATAATTTGTATAAAAGCATGTGAACAACCAATATGCATTCTGCTATCAGTAAAGTACGTAAACTTTTGAAAACAGAGGATTATGAATGAAAGAGATTCATACTGGACTAGTTATGCGGATGTTTTTCCATTTCATTCTGTGTTGCTTTCGATTCGGTGTGAACACTAATGTAGGCACTTAATAAAGAACATACTAACCTGTCAATCATTTCTTGTGGTCCCTGATCCATCCCCATTCCTTCCCTTTCCAACATAACGGCATCCAGGTAGGCATCCTCCCAGAACTGCATCTGATCCCACAGAGTAGAACGCTCCTTACCTACACATACACGCACATTTTCACTCTTAACTTGAGTAAAACAGTATTTCAACTAAACATGCCAGCATAAAACACTGTTTATTGTAAATGTAAGATGTTCAAGACATAAGAATAAATGAGTATTAAAATAAAACATCCTCCATACATACAATAACAGAAAGAGATGTCAAGCACCCAAAGCAACTGCGCAGCATGCAGTAAAAAATAGAGCTTGCTATCAAACCTTATGAAATTAATTTTAACACAGAGATAACACACGCCTCCATACATCTGCTTATTGTTTCAGCATTCCCATTCTCTCAAGCAGCTTTTATTACCCCTCGATTTCACACAAACACATTCAATTACAAAATAAAGTTGTCTTATCTGATCTGTCTGGCTTGTGTATTTTAACTCTCTCTTCATGCAAACAGTACCATGCACACAGCAATGCATTCAAATATATTTAATTTCTTAGAGAAAAAATAAAATAAAAATAAAAACCCGCTACATGCTCCATACAAGACTTAAACACAGTCATAGTATGGATGTGAGGCAAGGCATGTAGTGTCTAATACTACAACTTCACAATCCCGAAATATAAAGATCCCAAAGGTCAAAGACAGCCATACTCAGAGAAAAGGTTTCCATGGCAGCATCCTCCAGTTGGTCCCAAACTGAGCTTTTATCTCGCCCTTCGTAGCATTAAACGGAAGGAGAAAAAGAAAAAGGAGAGAGAGGGAAAAGGAGGTGGCCGCAGAGCAAAAGGCATAGAAAGAGTTAGTGTTAGAAGCAAAGCCGTGTGCTGTCAGAGATATCCAAACCAAAAATTCATCACACGCTGGTTAATATGAGGACATATTTGGAGCTAAACAAAAAAAACAGCAAATTAACAGAACACTTTACAAAGCTCAAATGATCAGAATATAAGCAGAGTTTACAGAACAAACTGTTGCAATCGTTGTTCTGAGCAGCAGACATGTTATTACAACTTGAAAACGCTGAGGTTATGGAAATCCAACAAAGACAACTTTTGGAAATACCTCATCATTTTAATGAACACAAACATTAAAAAATAAGTTGATTACTAAAGCAGTGAGAACGGACATGAAAGAAGAGAAGAAAAAAGGAAACAAAATGAATGGAGGGAAAGGAATGTTGAATGGATTAAGGAAGAGGATCAACTCTTACCCAGCAGCCCCTCACACAGATAGATCCTCATGCTAATATCCTCAAGGGGCGGAGCTGGTGCTCCCTTATTAACACCAAGAGGTTCCTTCACTCCTGGCTTCAGCTTATGAGTCTTGCCCTATATGTGTGACATTGACAATTGTCCATATTCATTATTTTATTATCTTTAATTTGATTGGATGCGGTGAAGAGGATGACTAAAACAAAGAGAACTACTTACAAACACAGAGCTGGTCGCAGGGTTGGTCTCAATCTCACTGTCAGACAGTGTGCCACGGGACAGGTTGAGATGTTGAGCATGTCTTCCTGTCAGGCCGTCTCCAGCAGTGCTGCTCAGGTCACTGTCCGCACCCAGCGTCTCACCTGAGCTGTTACTCACCTACAGATCCCAAGGTCAGAGATCAGCAACAGCACAACAAACAAGAGGGATTATGCAGCTACTTAGTGGGATCGTTCATTATAAAATGAAAAATCTAAATGTTGTTTAAAATCTGCATGATTTTAGATTTTTCTGCAAGATGACAATAAGCAGATTTTTTATACTAATGTTTAAAAGTTTGGAATTGTTAAGATATCTTAATGTTCTTGAGAAATGACTGCTACTCAAAGCTGCAATTATTTGATCAAAATATAATCATAACATCAATATTGTGAAATATTATTACAATTTAAAATATCTGTAATTTAATATATTTTAAAATGTAATTTATTGCTGTGAAGGGAAAGCTGAATTTTCAGCAGCCATTACTCCAGTCTTCAGTGTCACATCATCCTTCAGAAATCATTCTAATATGTTGACAGTGCTTAAGAAACATTTTCTATTATTATTCTTTGATGAAAGTAAAGTTCAAAAGAACATCACATATTTGAAACTGAAATCTTAAGTAACTTATACATGTATTTAATTTTAGACCAATTAAATGCATCCTTTTTGAATAAAAGTATTAATTTAATTTACTACATATGATCTGGATGGTATTTTAGGGAAAGGATGGCAGTGTCTCTGTAATGGCCGTGCCCTACCACTGTGCTGGCCTCTGAGTCCTGGCTGGTGCTTCTCTTCAGAGCAGGAGGCTCGGAGCTCGCCTGGGATTCTGTATCACTCTTCTGCAGAAGGGACAAGCAAGAAGAACAAAGATGAAAAAAAAGAACAATATGAACAACAATATGTACAGGTATTTTTACATTAGGGCTGAACGATTAATTGCATTTGCGATAATATCGCGATATGAAAAAACGTGATTTTTCAATCGCAGAGGCTGCGATTACACTCGGTCATTTGACGCGAGAGTAAAGAGGTGTGTTCAACTTGAAGATCGATCGGTGTATGACATCAAAGTACGGTGAGAGAAAGCATAAGGAGACGTCTGCGCTACGACTTTGGCACACACCGATCGGTCTAAGCAGTGCTGCTTCAAGTCGAACACATCTAAGCAGTCTTCAGAGGAAGCATCAAGTTGGCACGCTACAGTGTTGCCAAGTCCGCGGTTTGGGGAGCCCCTCCAAAAAACTTGTATTTTACTGCCTGGAACGCAAGTTTTACCGGTGGACCACCCCTCGAAACGAGATTGGGCTAGTTTTGAGTAGCAATTGGGCGGGTTTTGTTGTGAAAACCTGGCAACCCTGGCACGCTAGCGGAAATGTTTGAAAGCGTATATGAACGTACTTCAAAACGGCACATTGAAATTACTCAAGCAGTAACAGTGTTATGGTGCATTTCATTACTGAAGACTTCGACCTTAAAGGGGTCATATGATGTTGCTAAAAAGAACATTATTTTGTGTATTTAGTGCAATGAAATGTGTTTATGCGGTTTAAGGTTAAAAAAACACATTATTTTCCACATACTGTACATTATTGTTTCTCCTCTATGCCCCGCCTTTCTGAAATGCGTACATTTTTACAAAGCTCATCGGTTTGAAAAGCGAGGTGTGCTGTGATTGGCCAGTTATCCAGTGCGTTGTGATTGAAAATAATATATATAATAAGGTAATATATATATTCTTATTTATTTAAAGTCTGTCTAAAGCAGTGGTTCTCAAAGTGTGGGGCGCACCCGCCAGTATTGCAGGGGGGGCGCAGGCCATCAGCAGAAAAAGAAAAGAAATAAAACGGTAAACAGCCAAAGGACGTAACTTAGAATGGGAGATGGATCAGTTTGTGAAAGGGAAGAGAAAAGCCATAGATGAATTCGCACAGTATGGAAGCATATAGGTAGCGAAATTCCATTTAAAATGCAATATGCAAAATGGCAATGCAATATTCAAAATGGCAACGCAATATTCAAAATGGCAATGTATTTCTGTATTAAAATTTACATTTTCCATTACCCATACGTGCAAAGTTTGGTGCAAAAGGAAAATGAAAATTTTATTGTATAATTTACATTTGCCATTTCCAACAGTAGTCTTAATATGTAAACATAACATAACATAATCAAACATAATTAAAATAATTTATTTACTTTTCCAACAAAAGCAGGGTTTCTGCGGGGCATTGAAAATGATTAAAAGTCATTAATTTACTTAAATAAACATTTTTTAATAACAGTCATTCAGGACTTCCATTCAAAAACTCGGGAAGTCTTGATTAATTAAAAAAAAATTAATTGTATAATTAATTTAAATTAATGTTTCTAATAGACACATTTATAGCAGAACCTCAAGTAAATTACAAGTTATTTTGTTTAGTCATATACAGGTGGGAGCTTTTCAATTTATTAGGCTACTCAGAACGACTTAGAATAGCCTACAACACCTTTAAAGACTTATTCAGGGAAGTACAACAGGATGCAGGAAATGGTTGAGTATTATTTATGGTATAAAATATCTTTATTGTAATGTTTGTAATGTCCATTTATAGTCTTTATACATCAGCTTGGCTCCTTAAATGTTTAAACACCAGCTCATTTCAAGACGTTGACGTCGCGTGGGTCACCCGCAGTGTAAGACGCTCAAAGCTCAAGACGTTCGGATAGACGTCCGGTTTGACGTTTGATCGGTCGGTCGGCCGTTTGAACGTTTGATTTTAGCATGGAGAACGCTTCATATATTTCTCTGTTCATGCTCCACTTCATCTGCCAGTGAATTCGACGATCTTATCAGATCTCCAGCTGCCATGTTTCGAATAATCCAAACGTAACACGCTTCCGCCAATTCCTGCCTTGAAGCAATGATTGACGGAGGGTGGGCGTGGTCAGCTCGGAATGCATTTTCAAAGCCACACTGAATTTTGCTACAAATATTCATGATGAAAATGCAATCCTGAGTGTTCTAACTGTTAGTCTAAATTCATTTAGGACAAATAGCATTTAAATTATCATTTTGCTACCATTTCTGCTTGGACATGTTACACATTTCAAATCAATTTGTGTTATACATTTTAATTTTGCAACTTAAAGCATTAAAATTTGCATTCAATTTACATATTAAGACTACTGTTGGAAATGGCAAATGTAAATTATATAATTTCATTTTCATTTTCCTTTTGCACCAAACTTTGCACGTATGGGTAATGGAAAATGTAAATTTAAATACAGAAATACATTGCCATTTTGAATATTGCGTTGCCATTTTGAATATTGCATTGCCATTTTGCATATTGCATTTTAAATTGAATTTCGCTACCTATATGCTTCCATAGCACAGACCCTGGCAGTTGCTGGTTATTCAAAAGCTAAATGCAGAAAATATGACTAGGCATATCTTGCTCTCGGCTTCACTCACCGTGTCTATACCGGACGCTACAGTTGTCGCTTCGTGCTGCAACAGCTCTACACTGGACGCGGCCGTTGCAAATCATTTTAACTTTTGTCAGTACGTCATAAATGGAACAAGGCATCAGTTTACTGTCAGGGATTTGGCATGTCGCGCTGCGCCGCATCCAGTGTACACAGCGTCACTGATTATAATGGGTTCTACTGTATTTTACCGCTCGCGCCCGGTGTAGACACGGTGTTTAATTTCGTTGGTGAGGAGGAAAGCCTGCGTGTGTCCTATGCCTTTGCAGACAGCATGAAACTCACAATAAATAAATAAATAACAGAGAGAATAATAATAATAATAATAATAATAATAATAATAACAGTTATTCTCTCTATGCTATTTTTCAATGTTTCAAGTGATGCAGTTTTTTCCCTGTAGGTTTTTTAAATAAAAAAAGCATCAATTTTTCATAATATTTAGTGAAATTATTTGGTAGTCTGAGGTGGGATGGGGATTTGGGGAAAATAGTCAAAGTTTTAAGATTTATATCGTGATAGTAGGTTAAAACCCACCTGTGAGCCAGACGTTACACTGAGGCCACTGTCAGCACTGATCTGTGATTTCTTTTCCTCAGTGTCTCCACCTTCCAGACGCTGTTTTGCTCCATCAGCCCCTGTAGAAAAAACATAATCAGCATCCATTTCCTTCCATCCATTAATACTCTGCAAAGCATTCTGGGACGTCACATGACTAACAGCGAGCTGAAGCCATCACTGTTCTAGAGAGTGTCAGTCATCGATATCACAGAGGGGAATAATGCCATTCAGCTGGCTGCCACTCATTAGACTACGCAGGTCAGGCAGAGAGAAACAAATAATGCTTGTGGTCATATTGGGGAAACTCACAGAAGCAGATCAGCTGACAGTGGACCAGATCAAGTTCACAGTAGCGCAAGGTATCACAGACACACAGACAGAAGCAGTCACACATGCAGGCAAACACAGTCAATCAATCAAACAGGAGGAAGCTTCAGCTACAACTAGCACACTCACTGCTTCTTAAATGAAGAAACTGATATTGCGATTGCAAACCCCAACTTGGATAAAATCGATTACGCTGTACTGTATGAGGCATCAAGAACAAAAATAAAAAATAAAACAAAAAATAATTCTAAAGCTGCATTCCAAATCTTCTGTAAAATCAAAGCGAAACTTTTTACAACAACATTTTCTTCACAGGTGCATGTGGTCTGACAAGATCCTTTGAAATTCTTTCAAAACTTTATCTCATATTTCATACTTGCATCAAAAAGTGAGATAATTAAACAAAACCAAAGATGACACATGCCTGTGTTCAGTCATTGAGACGTAACCGTAAATAGAACTGTGCTGCAAATGTACATTTATTTACATGACCTGACAGCAATGAAAAATTAAATAAATGTAGAAAGTAAAAAAAAAAACTAGGCTCATGTGAGATAAATCTATTTCATCGTGGTCAAACAAAAGTGAATGCTTTCAGGAAAAGTTGCCAAGTTAAAAACAGAGCAAACCAGTCAAGAGTAGGGATGGGCATTAGTACCCGAGTACTACGAAGAGACAGCATTGGTTAATAAATGATCCATTTTGTGATTGGTTACAACAGTACATCGGTACGGTACCTTGTTGTCTGATTGCTATGATTGGATGCCACCTACACATGGAGGCCGACTTTCAGTCCACATGAGAAACAGCACTATGAGTGTATACACTGGGACACATTCTAGTGCAGGGGTCTTGCAATGTATTTTTTTAAAGAGCTGAACTAGACAAAAACAAATTGACTACAAATCATAAAAAACACTCTGCTCATGGTGTGAGACGCTTAAAAAACAATGATGTGATACAATGGTAAAAAAAGGCCTTCTGACATTCTGCTCATTGCCCACCCAGAGTTCTCAAGTAGCCCAAGCTAATATGTGTCAAGTACTCAAGCTGTCAAAATGACCAAAATGCACATCCCTAGTCAAGAGTCAGATTTGCACACTTAGAAATACTGTCCCAAATACTGATTTCATTTCAATATGATTTAAATCTGTATGTGTACAGGGCTCATTTTATACCTCAATATTGACTTTGGATGGATTGCAATTTTTAACTTTGCATCTATATACCTTGCTCCTTTTAAATAAATACAATTTATTCCTTGGAATAATGTTTGGGCCACATGTCTAAATGGGATTTTTGAAAAGTAGTTGAAAATCTGGGAGCAAATTCTGCTTCTCCCCACAACAGAAAGTGGTTTAAGGGAAGAGAACTGGTGCAGATAGAAAGTCCCTGTTTTGCAGTTATGCAAAGGAAAGTCTAACTGGGTGCTTAGGGAAGTGATCTTACTCTGTTCTTTTTCCAAAGCTTTTTGCTTTCTGTTATCCTGGTGCTTGCTCCACAATTCTACCCAAGATGCATTGCAAGCAAGGAGAGAAAGACAGAGAGAGAATCAGAGAGCCGGTTGAATTGTCAGATATGGAGGATGAGCTTTTTTCTTTTTTTTTTTTTAAGAGAGAGAAAAATAATAATTAAAAAAATCAATAAATAAAACTGAACAAGTGCAAAGTCTCATTTTCTAAAACAAGGATGTTTTGCAATGATCACATATGAAGGATCTGACGTCATGTAAAACCATCCAATCATTTAAAGCTAATGGGGTCCCATTACAAAACATCCTAAGCTCCGCGACCCTGTTCCTGAAGAGCCAAAATGATGGATTTCACAAAATCAGCCTCATGGCTTGGTTTTCTTTCCCCATTCTTGTCATCCATAATGGGCAATGGCTCTCCAAGGCGAGGGTGGGTGGCCTGGGAGATGCAAAAGGCGTGAGATGAGGACAACAAATCAGCTTCACAGCTGGTGGGTGAAATGAGGTGTTGCAAAAGCAGGGGGTGCAGTCTCAAAGACATTCCGTTGAATTGCAGGCGCATTATTACCAAAGGACAGACAAGGCAAGGTTATGAGGGTTGGGCTTTGGAGCGGGTGAACGGTCCCCTGTACACAGACCCAGATATGACCGCCAATCAGAGACCTGGGCCTAAAAATCCACAAGCCATTTCAGACATTTTTAATGTAAGAAGACTTCTGTGGTCATCATAGGACTGTTAACAGGGGAGGCAACAGTTTAGGACCCTTTTAAAGAGAGTAGTGGTACAGTCCAAGACCTTCACCATCCCACTATTTCACTCTTAGCTACACAGAGATGCAGCTCTTTCACTAACATGCATCCAATGGATTTAAGGGGAGTTGGGACTGGCATACAGGATTTGAAAAAACACACGCTGAACATTCCAGAAGAAGTCTACATAAATTGGGTTCATATCCATCACAATATTCCACTAATGTGTCTACACCAACCAATGTCACCTTAAAATATTCTTTGGCTCCAAAAGCTACTGAACTGGAGAATTTGACAACTGTTTTTGGAAGGATCACTCAAACTACAATGTTTAAACCAACAGTTCACCCCAAAAAATAAATTTCTGTCATTTTCTCAGCCTCATGCCGCTCCAAACCTGTATGACTATTTCTTTTCTGGAACAGTAAAGCAGATCATTTTTTCTGTCCACGAATGAAGGGTCTAGTGATGTTTTAGACACCAATGTTTCAAAACATATTTTTTCTTGTGTTCTACAGATAAAAGAAAGTAATACAAGTTTGAAACAACATAAGGGTGAGCAAATGGCAGAATTTTCAATTTCAGGTAAAGGAACTCTTCAGCCAACTTAGTTTTCAACTTCTGGCACAAAGTCGGTGTAGACAGTCAGTGAAATAGAGGATGCAGCCCGAAGGGACACACTGCCCCCAAAGAGCTCAGGGAACGTAACAAGCAGCGAGAAGGGGGCCATGCAATGGGGACTGCGGTTTACACACCAATGGAGGCAATAAAATTCTCCTCGTTCAGACTCCGGGTATCAAACTGCTGTGACGATTTTCCAGGGGAGGGTGGTGGCAATTGGATACGGGGTACCAGGAGCACGCCTGCCGCCCTGGCGCTCTCCATTCGGCCCGATGGGCTCTCCTTACTGCCCGGGCTGCTAACCCCCTCGGTGGGGCTCCGTTTCCGCTTCTCTGGGTCTGTGAGCCACAAGTGGGCACCAAGGAAACAGAGCACAGGAAAAAGGAAGAAGAGGAAATAGCAAAGACACATGGAGACACAAGGGATAGAAATTAAATTTGAAGGCAGGCTACTGGTGATTTTTCTCTAAAAAGGTATGGAAAGAAAGGCTGAAACCCAAGGATATGTAAAAGTGACACCAAGTTGGACACGGCTGTGAAGAGGAACAAGACTCTCTCGAAAGCAAAAACTCTTTGTGTAGGTACATATCTATTGCTCTGAATGCAGGCAGAAACCACGTTTGTTGCTAAATATTCACATGAGGGCAGGGGAGGAAGACTAAGTGGGGAGGGGGGGGGGGGGGGGGTCATGCAATGGGGACTGCGGTTTACACACCAATGGAGGCAATAAAATTCTCCTCGTTCAGACTCCGGGTATCAAACTGCTGTGACGATTTTCCAGGGGAGGGTGGTGGCAATTGGATACGGGGTACCAGGAGCACACCAGCTGCCCTGGCGCTCTCCATTCGGCCCGATGGGCTCTCCTTACTGCCCGGGCTGCTAACCCCCTCGGTGGGGCTCCGTTTCCGCTTCTCTGGGTCTGTGAGCCACAAGTGGGCACCAAGGAAACAGAGCACAGGAAAAAGGAAGAAGAGGAAATAGCAAAGACACATGGAGACACAAGGGATAGAAATTAAATTTGAAGGCAGGCTACTGGTGATTTTTCTCTAAAAAGGTATGGAAAGAAAGGCTGAAACCCAAGGATATGTAAAAGTGACACCAAGTTGGACACGGCTGTGAAGAGGAACAAGACTCTCTCGAAAGCAAAAACTCTTTGTGTAGGTACATATCTATTGCTCTGAATGCAGGCAGAAACCACGTTTGTTGCTAAATATTCACATAAAAATTTAATTGGGACATTTGAATGAGAATTACCTTTGGTCTGGTAGTGGGTGCGTGCTATCTCTAGCAGACTGAAGACACTGGCCATGCCTCCCAGGCCAGCATTAGTGTATGAGTGCTCCAAACTGGACACTGTGCACTTCAAGAGGTCCAACATGCCTTTGTACACCTTCCTGTTTATCTCCTATATACACAGGCACACAAAACCATATAATGAATAAAACACAAGTCAAATATATTAGGGTCTTGCTTTGGTTCAGCTGTTTGACTTGTCACTTCTAACTCACCACATCTCTTATAACTTCCTGCTGAGCATCCTCTTCTGATTGGACCGCGCGGTTGAGTTTGCTGAGCACAAAGACTCTGAGCTGTTCGTTCTCTAGCAGGCGGCGTACTTTCTTCATGTTGAGCCAGCCCACACCCTGCCCATCGTGCACGCTCTGGACCACCTCCTTGAGAAACTGCTGGTTCTCACTGCATAGAAAAAAAGACCAGGTTTAACTGAGGAAGAGCTACATATTCACTTCATACGCACTCAATAGAGAACAATAGAAGTAAAAAGAAGAGGGATACATTTTTTTATAAAGTAAAAAACAATATAATTTAACAATATGTATATTTTTAACACCATCTGTCAGGACAATCAGTAAGATTTCTTTTTATTTAGCAAGGATGCATTATATTACTAAAGATTTACATTTCAAATAAATGCTGTTCTTTTGAATTTTCTATTAATCAAAGAGTCCTCTAAACATTGAACATTAATAATGAGAAATGTTTCTTGAGCATAAAATCAGCATACATATACATAGATACATATATTTTTTTTCCCCGTTTTTTTGCGTGTTTGTCACACTTAAATGATTCAGATCAAACAAATTTTAATATTACACAAAGATAACCCAAGCAAATACAAAATGCAGTTTTTAAATAATGATTTTACTTAAGGGAAAAAACCTGTCCAAACCTGCCTGGCCCTATGTGAAAAAGTAATTGACCCCTAAATCTAATAACTGGTTGTGCCACCCTTTGCAGCAACAACTGCAATCAAGCGTTTCCGGATGCGTTTACTGGCAATGAGTATTTCACATCGCTGTGGAGGAATTTTGGCCCACTCTTCTTTACAGAATGGTTTTAATTCAGCCACATTGGAGGGTTTTCGAGCATGAATGGACTGTTTAAGGTCATGCCACAGCATCTCAATCGGATTTAAGTCCAGACTTGGACTTGGCCACTCAAAAACCTTAATTTTGTTTTTCTTGAGCCATTCAGAGGTGGACTTGCTGATGTGTTTGGGATAATTGTCCTGCTGCAGAACCCAAGAGCACTTGAGCTTGAGGTCACAAACTGTTGGCCAGACATTCTCCATCAGGATTTTCTGATAGAGTGCAGAATTCATGGTTCCATCAATTATGGCAAGTCGTCCAGGTTCTGAAGCTGCAAAGCAGCCCCAGACCATCACACTACCACCATCATGTTTGACTGTTGGTCTGACATTCTTTTTATGAAATGCTGTGTTGGTTTTACGCCAGATGTAACGGGTCACACACCTTCCAAAAAGTTCAACTTTTGTCTCATCAGTCCACAGAATATTTGCCCAAAAGTCTTGGGGATAACCAAGATATTTTTTGCCAAATGTGAGACGAGCCTTTGTGTTCTTTTTGGTCAGCAGTGGTTTTTGCCTTGGAACTCTCCCATGGATGACGTTTTTGCCCAGTCTCTTTCTTATTGTTAAATCATGAACACTGACCTGAATTGAGGCAAGTGAGGCCTGCAGTTCTTTAGATGTTGTTCTGGGTTCTTTTATGACCTCCTGGATGAGTCGTCGTTGCGCTCTTGGAGTAATTTTGGTAGGCCGGCCACTTCTGGGAAGGTTCACCACTGTTCCAAGTTTTCTCCATTTGTGGATAATGGCTCTGACTGTGGTTGGCTGGAGTCCCAAAGCCTTAGAAATGGCTTTTATAACCCTTTCCAGACTGATACATGTTTTGATCATAAACTATTTTCATGATCAAACTATCATGAACTCTTTAAGCATGCTTCTCTTTGTCAGACAGGTTCTATTTAAGTGATTTCTAGATTCAACAGGTCTGGCAGTAATCAGGCCTGGGTGTGGCTAGTGAAATTTAACTCAGCTTTCTAAAATACTGTGGTTAATCACAGTTCTTTCATGATTTAACAGGAGTGGGCAATTCATTTTTCACATAGGGCCATGTAGGTTTGATGAGCTTTTTTTCCCTTAATAAATAAAATAATAATTTAAAAACTACATTTTGTATTTACTTGCATTATCTTTGTGTAATATTAAAATTAGTTTGATGATCTGAATATTTTAAGTGTGACAAATATGCAAAAAAAAAAAAA